ACACTGGGGAGTACGGCTGTTTTAGACCATCCAGCCCCAGACAAGCCACCAGCTGTCATCAGCCACACGAGTAAACCAGCCCGAACCCATCTATTATCAAGTCAACCACAAATCATGAGAAAGAAATCAGTTTTAAATTCTTAAATGTCAGGATAGGTTCTTTTTTGTGCAATTATTGATAACAGGTATACTAAGCATGGACTAGATGCATTTTATTTAGTATGTAAATGAAACTTCTTAACAACCCTGAGAGGCTGATACTGTCAATGACATCACATGACAAGTAAGGAACTTGAAGCTCAGTGACTGTGAGAAACTTGCCCACGATCAGACAGTAAAGCAGTAAATCCAATGCAGCTCTATCTGGCCTCCTGCACACTTTATACCCCTCTACTATTCTATGAGGATGTTTTAAAATATCATTCTACGAGGATGTTGTAAAGGAAAAAGGGAGGCTGGGGCTTTTAATATCCAAGCCAGATTATTAGTATTATTTTTCTTTATGGAATGTAACAATTCAGTGTTTGGAATTTCAAGGAAATAATTGTATATATACTGAAAAAAGGAGACAAATTAAAATTGAAGTGAATTTATAGGTTAATTAATATACACACGTATCAATGAATATCTTATATTCAAATAATTTCCAAGCGATTCAAAAAGCGTGTAGTGCAATACTTTAAGAAATTCAAACAATGCTTGACACTGAGGTGGTAGATCCTCTACAAAGTTATAAAATAATCACTTCCATGGAATTTTTCTGATCCCTTCCTAAAGTTAAAAATCTGTAAACATTGTGCTCCCACAGGCAATTAAGTCACTTCGAAATTTTGTTGGGGTCTATCGCTCCAGGGTTCCTTCATTCAGCCGCCCACTCAGAGGCAAGCCACTTAATCCAAATGCCTATAGGTGAGAGGTTACCCTCAGCCATTCATTGAGCACCTGCTGGTTATCTCGTTGCTACTAGGTTCATTGGCAGAGACAAAGAAGTGAGGAACGTGGTCCCTCATGAAGCCAAGAAGGCATGGTGGAACTCAACCAAGTCGTTCCCTCCTTTCAGCCCTCTGGCCATCAGATGAAAAGATCTGACACTATTACTGTAACAGCTGTGGTCAGCCACCCAGAAGGTAATGATTTTAACTACGTACGGAGCTCATACATGTCCATGAGTCACGAGCAGAGGCATGTCTTGAAAGTCTCCGTAACTATGGACAAATTCCTCTTTGCCAGCTCTCACGGTCGCCCCCCTGGTTTCCACCTCCCACACCACATTTGGAGGCTTTTAAACAGAATGATTTCAGGGCCTGCACGCTCACAATATGACCAAAATAGCAGACAAAATGAACACCTGCATTAAACATTAACACCTTAGCCCTCACTGCTATTCAAAGTCCCCATCAGAGAGTGATATTCAGCACCTACCTGTTCAGTTTTCTTTTCTGATCTTGAATCATTTTCATGGTATGTGGCTAATGGTAGAACTGCTACCCATCGCTTTGGCAACATACCCATTTGCTAAAAAAGGAAATAAAACCTGAGGTTTGTTTTAAATTGTCTATCTGCCAGGTCTTACACTAATTAGGAAATATTCTTTAAAGCAATAGATATTAATAGCCTCCAAATAGTAACAGGAAAATATTTTATGAGAGAAGACAATCACATGAAAATGTGTTAGTTTATTTTTTTAATAAGAATCAAAGAGTTTTGATGCCATTAATATTTTTTAATGGTCTCCATTAAAATATTTCTGCTCTAAAGTGTATACTATATTTAGTCTTGGAACTTTCTGAACTTTTTGTATATTGGAATTTATACATAGTTAAAGAAAATAAAGATTACTCTGAGGGAATCCTAACTGTAGATTTGAAAACAATGGAAGATTAGTGTTTTAAGGCAATAGTGTCTAAGTCAGATAAAAACCCACATTTGAAACTCAAGAATTTTTGAATCCTTATTTTTGGTTTGCAGCAGAAGGAATGGTAGCTTCATAATTCGGTCATCTGTTATTTACATTCCACTTCGACATTCCTGTTTTTACTTTTTTTCTTTTAACAGGTTCTGTTGGTAAATGAAAAACAAAAGAAATGGAAGTTTTCAAAACTGAGCCTAAATCCTAAGCAGTAGCAGATTGTGGCCCAGCCAAACACCGCCGGAGTATTCATAGCATCTCATTTCCACGCTTCAGTTTGCTGGCTAGCAGCTACCTTTAGTAGTTCTCTCAGGACTTGCTCACAGTTTAGGAAGTGGACTGGGCAGCTTTCCCAGGAGATGCAAGGACATGGTAGGGCCTGCACTCTGTTGGAATCGAAACACATCTGGACTGCGTTTTGGGGCACTACGCCAGAATCTGCATACTTCTTCCCCCTGTAATTAACCGTTGTTTTTGCATATGATTCTTACCTCCAAAAGAACGCTTTTAAGCAGTTTATATGTTTATCTTATTTTCAAAGAAATTACTGAATCATTGAATTCTGAAAGTATTCAAGAATTATGTTTAGGTTTTCATTTACAGGGAGGATTACATAGCTAATTAGAAGAATATCTAAAATATATAATGCTATCTATGTGACTTTTTAAAAAGATAACTAAAAGAGTGTGAAAGCCTCAATAATTATTACTAACAGCTGCTGAGCATTCCTCATATACCATGTAATATACTAAGCGCTTTTATGCAACATTCATTCATGCATGCATTCAGCATGTATCTGTTGTCTACTGTGTGCACTGTTCTAAGCCCTGAAGAACAGCAGGGAACAGAACAAAATCTCTGCTTTCATGAAGCCTATATTCTAGTATGAAACGATCAACAATTAAATAAGGAAAACAAAACGTGGGTCATGAAAATAAGTGCTGTGGAGAAAATCAAGCAGAGCACGGAGAGAGTGAGTGACTGCGTGTGTGTGTGTGTGTGTGTGTGTGTGTGTGTGAAAGACTCTCATTCAAATGATAAGGTGACATGTGAGCAGAGACGTGAAGGAGGTGAGGAACTCCACAGGTGGATCTCATGGGGATGTTCGTTAAAGAGCATTGAACAATTATTCATTATTACTCATGAACCACTCCTCATTTAATCCTCACAGCAGCCCTTCCTGGAAGGTCTTTTATTGCCTCCAGCTTAGTCAAGAGAATTGAGGTTTCCAAAATGTAAAGAAACTTGCTTAAGACCACACTGTTTACAAAGGGCAAACCAAGATTCCAGCCCAGACCTGCCTCATTCAGAAGCTGTGCTTTTAACCATCTTCCGCCTGTCAAATCAGCCACCTAGCCAACAACATTTCTACATACACAGTACAGAGACCTAGGGAATAGGAGAGTCAATTATAACATCACACTTAAAAAGGAAAAAAAAATCAATTCGAGAAGGATGAAGTAGGAGAAAAACTCTCTGCTCCCTTGGTGAGGGGTCTAGGTGAAGGCAGAATTGACCTCCTAAATTATGGCTCTCCAGGCACAATCAACAAGGGACAGCCCAGCTGGTCCTGTGGGGCAGGAGCTGCCAAGAGAGGCCAGGAGTGGGGAGGCGGAAGAAGGAGGGGACAGAACCGAGTCTGTTGTTGACAATATCCCCCCTCACTTACCCTCTGGTTCACCCCTCTTTTCAATTAGGTCTCAACATCACGGTTGCTACATAACTGAACTCTTCACAAGGTACCTCGAGACTGGTCTTGCCCAGATGTGAGGAATTGCTTCCAAGACCCACCACCCCCGCAGTTGCACTTAAGCCCTACATTCCACAAGGCCTTAGCCATGTGGCAGGCTGAGGAAGGGTGGAGACCTCCCACCATTCCGTTGTCCAGCCCTTGGGGCCCTTGTCTTCCTTGCTCCCTGGAAGCTCCTGTACCTTTGCACTGAGTGTGTGTGCAAGGGGAGAGACAGACCAGGGTAGAAGCGGGGGAAGAGAGAAGTTGTCCTCTCCAGCCAGGCCAGAGCTAAGTGGGATTTTGCAGTAAATGAGTGATGTGACAGCAAGTGAACAGACATCCCCAAGCTGAAGAGACATCCCCAAGAGAGAAGAGCATCTTATGTGATAACCAGGCATAGAAATTTTTCTTTCTGTCTCTCCAGTCCAAAGAGGAAACTCAGGACAAGTGGCTTAGGTTGTAAACTTCAAGGTCAAGGACCCTCTCTGCTGAGCTTAGCTCTCAAGTTCTCAGTAGTCAACTAGGTGTGAAACATACTGAACAGCATGTCAAATATAAGTTGTGGAAGATGCGACTGGAAATCAGCGGCCCCTTTCATGGGCTCCCTACAAGGCCTATCCTAAGCAGACTTCATCAACGTCAACCAGGCTATTAAAAAGTATCATCTATTAAAAATATGCTCTTCCCTAGCGCCTCTTAATGGAGTTTGTGTGTGGGGGTGTGTTTGTAAGGGGGGCGTGGGCGAGCAAGACTGCACTGGGTACAATTTGTGTGTTTGCAAGAGACAACAGAAGCCCTCCATGAGGAAGAACATATGTTTCTGGGACTGCATCTGTGCAAGAAGTGCAAAGCCCTGAAGCTGTACGAAGAAAAAAGAAAACTCTCTTAAAAGTCTTTATTTCACATACGTCATCTTTTGGCCCATTCCCTTTTCCGCCGAACCAAACTGCCCTTTCTGACCCTCAGGTGCAGGGAAACCGCGAGTGCTGCGAATTGCCTGGCAGGGCCGGACTAGTCAGGTGTTCCACCCGCCGAGGAGCCCAGGGGCAAGCCCGGCACCAGCACGCAAGCGGCCCCGCGGGGCGCACCTGCCCGGGGGCGGCCGCTGCGCACACGAGCGGAAATCACCTCCTCTCCGAGGGCGGGCGGGGGCGGAGCCGGGCCGGCAGCGCCCAGGTGACTCGGGCAACGAGCGCGCCTGGGCGGACGGCGCCCCGGCGGCGGCTCAGATTCCAGGGGTCCGCGCGCGGGGGTCCCGAGCCGCGCCCCCGTCCCGGGAAGGCCAGGGCCGCGCTCGCCCGGCTCGGGCCGCCCATCGGCGCGGGGCGGGGCCTCCAGGGGGCGGGGCCTCCAGGGGGCGGGGCTCGCACCCGGGCCCCCGGCTCCGCGGCAGGAGCTGCCGCAGGTCTCGCGGCAGGCGAGCGGCGAGGGCGAGCTCTCCGGCCATGGCCGCGCCCGGCGCCCCGGCCGAGTGCGGCTACATCCGGACCGTCCTGGGCCAGCAGATCCTGGGGCAGCTGGACAGCTCCAGCCTGGCGCTGCCCTCCGAGGCCAAGCTGATGCTGGCGGGGAGCGGCGGCCGCGGCGGCCAGGCGGCCAAGAGCCTGCGCATCCAGGAGCAGGTGGAGCAGACCCTGGCCCGGAAGGGCCGCGGCTTCGTGGGCAACGGTGAGTGCTGCCCGCCGCCCCCAGGCCGGCCCCCGCCCCCGCGCCCTGCTGCCCCCGGGGCTGCGGGACCTGGTGTTCCGCCACCTGCTGCCCGCCGCCCCTTTGTGCGGCCCGTCGCGCCTGCAGGCTCCGACGGGCTCTCCCGGGGAGAGCACTCCTCTAAAATCGCCTCTTACTCAGCTTCATCATAAGTGCATCTGCGTGTGTTAAATGCACATATGTATGTAAACGAATCAGCCCAAGCTTTTCACCCCTTCCTTAACCTCCTACCCCTCCCACCCCTACCTATTCAGGGGACCTAATCTGGAGGCTCCGGGAGTCCACAGACACCTTGAAATTCTATGCAGAAACTTGGAGTGGTCATTTTTCCGGGAGAAAGTGCCCCTTAGCCTTATTAGATTTTTAATAAGGTCTATGACCCTCGTAAATAGTTTGAAAAAAAAAACGTGAAAGTTCCGGCGCTCCTACAACCTATAAATTGGGATTGCGGTGCCTCGCCCAGGTGCTTCAGGGCGAATGGGGTTGATCTAGGAAGTGAAAATATTGGGTAGGAGGCTTAGGGCCAGGGAGCAACCGCACCCCCTCCCCGAGGGGGAAGAGGACTTTGGCCCGGTCAGCAGCAGCTCCGCCTGCCGGGCTGCACCCCGCCGCCGCTCTGTGGGCGCAGCCCTGATCTCTCAAAACAATTGAACCTAGAGGTGAAAGGCGTTTTAAAAAATAAAGCAGTGGATTAGTAATTGATAGGGGAGGTGCAAAGGGAAGAAGACCGCAAACTGGTGGTGAAAATTAGAGAACATGATGTCATTTTTTCCCTTGCTAAGTCAGGTGATAAAGTGTAACCCTTCTATTAGTTAATTAATTTTTTTCAGTATAAAAGGCTTATTATAGAAAAAAGAGGGAAGAATTGAACCATTAATTGAGTTGGCATATCGGTTTGTTTTCTGCAACATCGAACTGTTTCTCTAGGAAATAACTTGGCCAATGGCAAGTGCAGATAGAACCCCTTAGGAAAAAGAAAAATGCTTGCAGCCCAGACCAGAGATTTAAAACAGCAGCCCCTGGGAGGCTCTGTTATCTTCAATTTGTGTAAAATGATCATAAAGGATCAGGCAGGCAATGTTTACATACTTGAGAAGTAAAGAAAAGATGTTTAGTGATTAGTTAATGAAATTGAGTGCCTACTGTGTGCCAATAACCGAATTATGTGGTTGCATTTATTATATTAGGTTTGCGCCCCAAAAATTTGAGGCAGGCATTTTAGTTTCCATTTACAGTCGAGGAAACGAAGTTGTGAAGTAATGCTTACATCCACATAGATGGGAAATGGCAGAACTGGTATTTAAACTCCCAAGCCTGCATCTTTAAACCACTCATCAGGTGTATTGTTAAGCTTTTTGGTTATTAATACAAAGTGGGATTTTTATTAGACCCTAAGCCTCTCTATGGCTCCCTTCCATGATCCTCCTAATAAAACTGAGGCAGTTCTGAGAGAGTGGGGAGGTCTAGATAGCCCAGAACAGCCACAGTAAGTGGAAAAAAATAACTTAAATTTACATTTAGGAGTCTGATTAAGGACTCCAGGACAACTAGGTGAATTTTTGACCAATGGGGACCTGGCACCCCTTCAGTTTGTGCAGGCCCAGCGCAAAGTTGAAACCAAACTAGTGTCTTCTACTTGGAGGACACAAGGAAGGCACGTGAAATATTCTTTCTTACCCGCTGAGAACGGCTAACCAGGAAGAGCAACCAGACATCAACTACTCAGTAAATGAGGCATTGCTGAGCATCTACTGTGTGCCTAACCCTGTTCTAGAATCTTCATGTTTGCATTTCATTATATCCTTAAAATGGTTATGTGAGATAGACATGAGGGTCCACTTCACAAATCAAAACTGTGTCTCAACATTTATTGGCTACTCAGTCCCAAACCTACAGGTGGTCTGTGCTGTCAGCAGGGTGAATTCATGTTGCTAGGTGAACTCAAGAACTAGCAAATGAGCCTGTTCTTCATACCGGGCACTGTGTAGTTGCCAACTTTAACATAGACTCTGTGATCTTTAAAGCAAGGAGTTTAAAGTCTGAAAAAGGACCTGCCTTTAAAAAAATGCGCTATCAGATGAAAAAATGGTCAGCTACCCAAAAGAGCAGCTAATGCATTATGGAGTTTAGAAGTATGAAACTACTAGCTGAAGGGAATTTTGAAAAGCTCCTTTGGGATTTTACATCTCAAAAATTCAGTGGGATCAGGCACAGGGCAGTGGCTGGAGGAGGAGCATTGTCAGAGGGGGCAGGAGGAATATTTCGCAGGTCACAGAACTGGCACCACCCTCATGCTCCTGCCCTACTTGAGTGGCCCTTCCAAGTAAGGGACGAAGTGTCTGAAATATTTTGATGACACAGAAACCTCCCAGCAAAGCTGAAATACACTCAGCAGCCCACACAAAAGCGCAAGTCAGGCAGGAGATAAGGCAGCACACAACACCTACTTACTCTGAAGCCTCAGCTTTCTGAGACTCAAAAAGGAAATCGGCTTCAAAGGAATTTAACATTTACATGCCAGGGAACAATTACCAGGGGTGGTTTGTGTAAGGTGTTAAATTAAAGGGCTTTGCAAAGGCCTGAGCATTGGGGATGGTTGGGAGTATTGTTTTTATTATTTCCCTATTACTATCATGTCTCTAAAGTTGAAACAGACAAGCAGTTGTTGAAATAATGCTGGTCTGGAAAGAGTCCTCTATCAACACAAGAATCTGGGAAGAAAGGACCCTGGTGTTAACTGCTGTTAGCTCCAGATCCCTGGGGGAATTCTGAATTGTTGACATACCTGTAAGATTGAGGCTACAGATAACCTGCTGAAAACAGAGATGTAATAAATGTGGCTGATTTGTTGATAAAGACCCTGCAAGGGTCTTTAATGCCTTAGTATAGGTGGGTGCTTTTCACTGTAAATCACTCTAACCTTTGTTGTTATTTTAAACTGCTGAACGTTTTAAAGTTGGCGGGGCTGGGGGGCAGCAGGGTGGAAGGGAACAGGGGGTCAGAGGTGTATAGCAGCATTGTCAAATGTGTCTGTGTTGCAGGGAATTTTAAGAATTCTTTTATAAACATCACAAAGAAGACATTTAAGAGTTGCAAGTATCAACAAAAGGAAACATTTCAAGTGTCCATATCCTATTTATTACACTTACTTTTAAAGTGCCTCTACTTTACTTATTTCATAGACTTTCCCTATGCCTGTGTAGGAAAAAAAGCAATGTTCTAAATGGTTCTATGTAATACTTATAAAACACAATGAACGATATGAACAATATACTAATGAAAATTTGCAGCTTCTTTGGGAATCTATCATAAAAACTTGAGGCGTTCATTTACTTAAATGGAGATGTTTTGAGTATCTGTGATCTGAGGGAATTCAGATGAAAGAACTGAACATCGGTTAAGTTAGCAAATAATGGGAAAGAATAGGTGTTACTGGGAGAGAGGGGTGTTGTTAGATATTGTTTAAATCCTGTTGGAATTATTTGTTTGCCAAAAAAGGAATTCCAGGAATGAAGCATTTCTGGGAGCGAGGTGACTAGCCATCTGGAATGCAGGAGGGATCAGGAGAGGGAGAAAAAAAGAGTTTGGTGGTGGGGTGGTAAGGACATGGCCATGCTGCTCAGAGGGTAATGTCAGTACAGCCACTTCTTTTTTCAGTGTCTAGCAGATCAGTTGTCATTAGTACCAAAAACAGTGTGTAGTTGTGGTTTTTTTAAAGCAATTCTTCTGATTATAATTGGTAAAGGAAACAATGTTAGCAGAGTGGTGATAATAAAAAATAAATTCCACACCCCTAGACATGGTGAGAACACATCATGTTATGGCTAAGGTCTTGAGTCAGAGTGTGGCAAGATGCTTCCGAATCAAGGGGACTTTACCAGTCTCCTTACTCTGAGTGTCACAGATGAGATGCGGCAAATCACCTTCACAAGGAGAAGACTATACATTTTTGCAGTCTGCGCCGTGATAGCCCTCCTCGCGGAGTTCCAAGCACGGAAACAGGGGAGCTCACTTGAATTAGACACTCTAGCTATTTGTGGTTCACTCTGGCTCATTCTTCTCAAATGTTGCTTTGGCTGTCAGCTTAAAATTGTTTTCTCGTGTATTAAAATAAGGCTATGAATATTTGCATTACTTTATCTTCAGAAATAGTTAACATTAATTCTACCCTAAAATTGAATTTCTGGTCTGATCAATAAAAATAAAAGCTCTGGGGTGTTTTTTTTTTTTTTCACCTTTTCTGAGAGAACAAGCTTATTATTGGCAACCTACCGATGAGAGAAGTGAAATATAATAGCAAATATGTTGCTAAAAACTCTAGAACTTATAAATCAGACTTGACTAACATGGCCTATAATAAGATCATTTGGTTCCATCTCAGATGGCACTGAAGAATTTAAAATGATACAATTCTGAAATAAATGTCAGCCTGTTTTATATAACTGTCTAGCTATTTTGTGCATGTACACAAATGTATGAAGACATAAGTACCATACTACTCCTGAAGGAGTAAGCAGTAAAAAAAAGGCAGTGCTGCAAGTGGGAATAGACAAAATTAGAAGAAAACTTAATCTTTGCATTAGAGTGAGCTATCTCATTCCTCTGACTTACTAGTTTAAGAATAAGCAGAATTTCAGGTCCTTTTCCAATAGAAATATTAAAAAATGTTTTGAATCTTGTGTGTAATACCATTAATAGTGATTTGATATTGGACATAAGAAGTTATGTTCCTAAGTAAAGTGCTTAAGGTGAGCTATGGTTCCCAGAATGTAGATTTAGATAATGCAATCAGGGAAAAAGACTTTGAGCATTTGAAAACACAAATTTCCCTTGCCATGAGAGCAATCCCCGTATTTATCTTCTTGGCATAATCAGATTTAGGCTTAACAATATTGATTGGCCAAAGCATCGTAATCAACGTTCTGCCATCCCTTGACTTGCAGAAGATGTTGCTTATTAGA